AAGAATAAAGAGACAGAAAAGTGATATATTAGTAATTACCAAAGCTTACAATTTAGAAGTCTTGTTTACCACATTGACTTAAATAGGTTGTAACTGAGAATATGTGGTATCAAACACGTTTAGTTAAAGTTTAGTATTATATGTTTAATATACTGCAACATTTAACTGCAAAAACATACAAGTATACACATATATATTAAACTAACCTGATTTTAGATGATTTCACCTGTCAACTTGTCTGTGCAGGAATTGTGTGCAGACTGAGAACATGCAGTGAGACAAAGGGTCAACTTTGAGGGTTAGCTTGGCCAATCAGTTGAGCACGTCTTGGCTTGGGTTTGTTAAGGCTTACAACATGAAGGACACATTAAGTACATCTAATCTATCTTAACAAATGATTAAACATAAAAGTTGAACACTTAAAAGCAGATACTGAAGGTGAATAAAATAAATATGTACAATGTTGAATCTGTCACAATTGCACCTATACTCTTGCCGATGCATAACATAATTACCATGAAATGAACTGTGAAATGAACTTCATTTTCATAAAGGCATCGCCAATATCCTTTTCATCATTCCCACAGACATTGAGTCATGCTCCCTTCTGGTCAAGAGACGTGGCCAAACTGCTCAACCCTGAAGACCTTCTGGACTGGACACTTCTCTCTAGACGTCTTGGCTACACCAATAATGACATCAGGAGCTGGGCTCAGATGCACGACCCACGTATGGCCATGCTGAATGAATGGTACGCGACGAGGGAAGCCACATACGCTGTGCTGACAGCACTGCAAGAGATGGGCAGAATGGATGCAGCTGTGATCGCGGAGGATGAATCTGTACAGGAAAAGTGGGATGAGGAGAGATTTGATGAATTGTTGACTAAGCCAGACCAATATGTGCCGGATACCATAGCGTTTGGTAAAGGGGAGGCAATGGAAGAACCATTCCCGTCTTCAGAAGAAATCCCTGACGAACAGGACACACTAACACCTCTTCCCAAGAAGGAACCAGAAGGAGGTTTTGAGCAACAACCATCTTCAAAACAAACATCCCAACAACATTTTAGCAACTCCCTCTTCAACAGCTTCCTCAAGAGCCTCTGCAACAACAGTCGTATTCGCATCGACAGCCACATCATTAGCCCCAACCGCAGCAGCATCGTTATGACAACCACCTCCACAGTGGTGTCCACCAACTACTCCATCCCAACCCAGTACATCAAACACGTGTTCTATTTTGTAAGTGCTCGACAGACCATAGGAACACATAATCGACACATTAGCCGGGACACTGTTATCTGACGTCTCCGTTCCAACAACCTCACATGTCGCCGACCAGCACGTAGTCCTGTTCTCCAACCACGGCATTGACAAGCACGACTTCAGCGGGCACAGGGTCATCAAACTTGGCGTCATCGTGAGTGGAGGCGCGTCATATTCTCTGATGAAAGTCGCTTTTGTGTCTCCCATGCAGAGGGAAGAGTCAGAATTTGGCGGCGTCGAGGTGATCGTTTCGCTGACAGAAACGTTGTGGAAAGGGTTCCATGGGATGGACCTAGCGTCATGATATGGGCAGGGATTAGCCTTAATGCGAGACTTGGACCCATGTGCTTTCTGAATGTTGGTCAAGGTCGGGGACACGGCGTCACTGCTCAGCGGTATATCGACCAAGTGATCAGACCCTACGTTGTTGCAAATTTTGCACAACATCCAGAACACATTTTTCAGCAGGACAACGCTCGTCCCCATGTTGCCAGAGCTAACATGGCCTTTCTGCAACAACACAACATCCGTGTTCTACCGTGGCCAGCCCTCAGCCCTGATCTGAACCCCATCGAACACTTGTGGGATGAGGTTCAAAGGCGTCTGCACAATGTGCGCTCAGTCCCTACAACTGGAGAACTACGCACAGCTGCTCTGGATGTGTGCAGGAGGATCCCTAGGGCCTTCACAAATCGTCTGATCCACTCAATGTACAGGAGTGTGGCAGTGATAAATGCTAATGGTGGTCACACCAAGTATTGACTGACATTTTTGGTATTGACCCGAAACTGTGTAAGCCCTCAACATTTGAAACAAACAATTTTGTCATCTGCCTTTTAATCCATTAAGCTGTCTTCAGTCAAATGTTTGCCTATCTTGCCCTATTAGTATTTCTTGTCTTTACTGTTGAAAGTAAATAACATGTATACTGCAAACTCGACTTGCGTTTCTTTTGCGTGTGAGTATACTTGTTATTATAATTAAGTTAGTTATTGTTTTGTGTGTTTTGAATTATGGCTTTATTTTGTTCGCATATGTAATTATGATAGCATGTTGATAAAGACACGATGTACACACGCAATCTAACACAGACACACACACGGGTGAACATACGTATATACGTACAGACACGCATTTGAACTCAGACGTACACACATGAAAGTACACACTTGTACACAGATATCCACACATACGTATAGAATATAGACATACAGATTAACAGACGAACGTACACACACACACACACACACACACACACACACAAGAATACATTAGCACATCCTTATCTTTACACACACTGCAGAAGCTGAAGCTTGTGGGGCCCATGTCTTGTGAGGTTTCATGTCATGTATATTTTGTACATCACGCAAACTGAATAAATACAAATTTGAGGCACCTGATGTTGGTACTTCCTCGATTGCTTCACTTCTGTATCTACGTGCATTGTAAACGGTTGGATATAATGTTACTTCTTTTGGTTCAGTGTTTGCTGGGGAGTGGGGTAGCCTAGTGGGTAAAGCATTCGCTAGTCACGCGAAAGACACGGGTGCGATTCCCCACAGCTGGAGTATTGCTAAAGGCGGCGTAAAACAACACTTACTCATCCCTCATTCATTCAGAACATCAATTGTCCCTTCAATTATCTTAATGTAGAACTCCTTTCCCATTGTAATAAAACCGTAGGCACAAGAAATCCTAGACATGTGGAGCTAAGGTACAACTGGATACAAGACATTGATACCTATTTCCTCTTCATGCGTTAACTAAAGTTTACTTTACATACCCACACATGTAGCTGCTTCTGGAGTATAGGCTATTTTGTCATGAAAGTTCCTTTCATAGTCTGTTTTCTCAGGTGAATAATTGCCTTGCCTTTGTATGTATTTATGATGGGAGCTGCTGATGGAAAGGGATACCCTCACCTTTTCGCAAACACCTGGTATATTCACACATACTAATGATATAGTCGGAATCATACACTGTTTTTTAGCAGAGTTTGTTTTTACCATTATGGAAAGGGTTGTGTCCGTTTTGCCTCACTTCATCTTCTGTTAGCTGCCTCCTCTTTGTTTTCATCTCGCTTCTGATCCGTGAAGATCCGGGGTAGAATAGGTCTTCAGGAACCCATACTTGCCGTAAAAGGCGACTATGCTTGTCGTAAGAGGCGACTAACGGGAACGGGATGCACATTTCATCATATCCCAATTGCGTTTATCGATGCTCATGATGCCAATCACTGAATTGTCTGCTCCAGATTCGATTATTTACAGACCGCCGTCATATAGCTAGCATATTGCTGAATGTGGTGTTAAACAACAAACCAACAACAAAAACATCTTGCATCTTCACAATATATTTTACAATTTGCGAAGGTTTGATGGGACCCAGCTCAATTAACTTGGACAAACGAATGTCCGGTAGGGCAGGACATGCTGACACCCGGTGTCATCACTGGTCTTTAGTGATCCATTCATGTAATGTTGACCACTAGTTTGCTTTGTTCGCCCAATTGAACCTGTTTCGGCGGATAATCGATAGTTTTTTATTTATATATATATTTGAGAAAGAAGGAAAGGCTAATGAGAAATATCACGAAACCTCGACTATACCGCATCCAAGTAGTGATCTTATTATTCTGTGAATTACGGGATTGGATATAATGAAATGATTGTCTACAGGAGTTTGTTATACGCGGGGTTGACTGTAACGTGAATAGTGTTCATTGTTGTGAAGAATGCACATCCCATATGGTTGATAATTGTTCATATTTAATACATACATGAGTTGTTTATATTTAGTTCATGTCTCGTTTAATACGTATATTGACTGTTTGACAACTATACACTAATAGACACTGTGTCACATTCTATTACCCAGAACTGTGATCTATCAGCTCATATGCACAACTACAGCTGACATTCGAAATCGTCTTCCTGATCTCAGTACTGTTAACTTCTGTCCATCGCCATTCTCTATCTGTTCTTCAGTAAACGATCACATTCTCCTGTGTTGGAGCTCGAACTGCTGAATGAAAACCGCAGCATGTGTGTTTCTTTGTTTACCCTTCACACCTGTCCAGCTGACCAAAAGCCAAACATGGAACAATGCCTCATCTATTGCCTTCACACACACGCACGCACGCACGCACGCACGCACACACACACACACTTTAGAATTAATCATGTGATATCATTTACTCTGCATTCGTTGAAACGAAGGTTACACTTCCCAACTTTTTATCATTATATCAAATATACGTGAATCATTACGCAACGAGTTGACAATTCTTTAAGCTATGCCCGTTTGTTTTTACACGGAGCCCAGTCGCAAACAGGGCGGTCGGGTAGCCTAGTGGTTAAAGCGTTAGCTCGTCATGCCGAAAACCTGGGTTCGATTCCCGACATGGGTACAATGTGTGAAGCCCATTTCTGGTGTCCCCCGCCGTGATATTGCTGGAATATTGCTAAAAGCGGCGTAAACACATACTCACTCACTAACTCACTCACTCACTCAGTCGCAAACAGGGGCACGAGTCGCTATTCGGCTTGTTCCGGAATAACACGAGTTTGTTACGAATGTGTCCAGATGATATCATACCCTAGTCATGCGCCTCCAAACACGAAATGTCGATAACCACCCTATAAGGACATATAGCCTGTGACTATACAGACTCGTTATCTTATCAGTAGGTGATTCACGGAACATTATCAACTGTTATCATGCTAGCATATGACGTAGTTATTACTTCATGGAAAAGGCATACCTTGTGTGGTCCCCATATTCTGTAGGCAGTGCAGACATCTTGCTGGGACGTGAACGTGAGTATGTCTATCTTGGTAAATGAATGATGGTAACATTGTTTTACAGCAATATTTTAAACATTTGCAATTATACTTTTTTTTCTGTAAAACGACGTTCTATCATGACAGAACCTTTTGTTTCCAAACTAAAATAAATACTGACTCTATTTGACCCTCTGTACCATACATGTACAAATCCACCATTTGTAGATTTGTGTCCTCTACAATACGGTTTACAATGTATCAACGGGTATATATATATAACACATGAACGCCATGACTCATATTTCCTGGAACCCATTGTTGTCCCTATATGGCATCTCTAAGGCCTTATTACTTGACTACAGGTACCCTGTTACGTACACAGTTCAGTCAATAGCTGTAGGGAGCACATGTGAGTTAGAGATCTTTAGATATTAACTTGTTTACCAGATTAGATGTGGTGTTATTAGGCTTTGCAGAACAAGAAATATGTCTGTCTAAACCGACACCATGATAAAAATATCATGTTCAGCTGGAAGTGCAAGTCCCAAGCATGTTGCTATGGTGACGCAATATATACGCAGCACCAGGCGTGTCAAGCTGACATTGATGTAGCAACGTCAAGTTGGCTCATTGTCAGGTACCGTTGACAATATGTTTTGCATACAAAATTTTAAGGTATCGTCTAAATAAAGATTCGGCACAAGTTATCAACTTACTAGTCCTTCTCCTTACACATTTTAACAACATCGATAACCACAGGCCTAGAAATTGCAATTATAAGATTTCTGATATATTACATACTTCAGCGTCAAAACATTTTCTGAAGTTGAGAAAAGTGATATTTATACTGCAGTAAACCAGAGACGTATATACGTCCGTTCGTGCTGTTAATTAGACGTTTCAAAACCCATGGGGAATAGCCTGCCACTTGCTTGGAAGGTGCTGTCCTAATTCCCGTATATTTGCTGGTGGTCCATGGCTGTTTCTCCCCACCTCGTCCCATGCATGTTCAATCGCAGCCGAATCAGGAACTCGGTCACCACTATAACACGATGTGGTGTGGCGTTACCATCCTGCAATATGGACTTTGATCAAGCTGGCAAAGTGCAGGAAGGACTCAGGGTTGAATAATCTCTTTTAGATAACAGTGACAAATTTAAAACAGTAACCCAATACAGTAGATTAATCCTAGGTTAAGCTTGAGCGCTACCGTATGCAGACTGTTACTTGTGTGGATCAACTTGTTGTAAGAGTTGTGTTTCCTACTGAGGAGTCATGAGGAGTTGCACCCGAGTATAGACTGCATACTTTGGAGGGTATGCTTAGCCCAGGTCAAGATGAATTATCTGATCCTTTGTCATCTGAACCTAATTGATTTCTGTTACTGTTTCAGGTGGCCACTGGACATTGTTCGGCATAAAACTTTGGTGACAGTCAGCTCAAGATGGACCAAGATACACAGTCAGCTGGTGAGTTACAATCAGTTGAAGCAAATTAAAAGATTTAAAAACATCGATGTAAAAACATATATTAAAATCTTCTACTTGTTTAAAATATAAAGTATGCATTATAAATGTAATACATTAACCATCAATATACATAATTCAACTTGGCTAAAGAAAAGAAAAAGAAAGTACTCAGTAGCATGTATACTGAACTGCAAAAGAAACGTCACCCCAAGTAAATTTGCATGAAAAGTTGTCATTTAAATATGTGGGTACTTTTTGTCAAAGTTTCTAAAATTTAACATTACCATGTCCGGACAAGTGAAATTTGATGATAAAAAACAAAGCAGATGACAATAAAACTAATCGCCTTAACGCATCACGGCAATGGCCATGGTAACCCGATACACGTGAGTTCTGTGGAAATTGAAATGCACATGCGTTCCCCCATTTCTTGCCCTATAAAAATCCACCCAGATCGGATAACATTCGTTCGTTATTGAATTTCTACCACATGCCAAGATTGACAAAAAATCAGCGACACCAAGCTCTTGGCCGATTGCAAGTTGGACAAAGTCTTGAGACCACACGCCATACCTCATTTGGCACGTCGCCGCAGCCACGAGATTCAGCATGATAACGCCCATGCCCATAGTGCGAGAGCAACAAGAGACTTCCCCCAGCAGAATGGCATCGGAACCATGCAGTGGCCGCCTCATCCATTCCATGTATCGACGTTGCACGGCAGTCATCAATGCACATGGCGGACACGAGATACTGACTTGTGATGCCATTTTCTGAGAGACTAGTGTTGTGTTTCACTTTAAGAACATTTGACACTTTAATTTCAACCTTGATGATCAGTTTTGCCAGGTTTCATCTTTTTAATATGTCTCCAAGTATGTTTTCAGTGTTTGGACAAATTGGGCTTCTCATATATCTATCCATGGTGACGTTTCTTTTATGGTTCAGTATATATACGAACACTCGAATGATCGAAACGGGGAAGGGTAACATATGTATTTTATTAAGAAGACGTTCTTTTACAAAGAATCAGACGATGATGGCTACACATGTATGGAGCTGCCTACCCTTGTCAAGCAGTTGCAGGTCGTTCTGGACCAGTACCCTGATGATGGACAGATACTCAAGGTAAGTCAGCGTTGGACCAGTGACAAGATGATGGACAGATACTCAAGGTAAGTCAGCGTTGGACCACTGACAAGATGATTGCCAGATACTCAAGGTAAGTCAGCGTTGGACCAGTGACAAGATGATGGACAGATACTCAAGGTAAGTCAGCGTTGGACCAGTGACAAGATGATGGCCAGATACTCAAGGTAAGTCAGCGTTGGACCAGTACCCAAGCGTTAGGTCAGTATCCAACTGTTTGAGTATCTAGATATGCAATGTGAGTCTATGTTGGACAAGTACCAGCGTGTTGGATCAGTACCTAATTGTTGTGGAGATACTTATTGTGAGTCTACGTTGGACGAGTAGCCACGAGTAGTTGTCAGCAGTACTTTGGTACCGCTCCTGGCTTCTGATTGGTCGAGAGGATCTGTGACGTCACTTCCGGTTTCGGTTTGGTCACGTGACTGCGCATGCGCACAGGGCATAAGGGGGTCCTGCGTGCGCATCCAAGATGGCGGCCCATCCGTTTCCGGTGGCGCGCGCATCCAAGATGGCGGCACATCCGTTTCCGGTGGCGTGCGCACCCAAGATGGCGGCACGTCCGTGTCCGGTGGCGTACGCCTTCAAGATGGCGACGCATCCGTGTCCGGGGAGGAGGAGGGATGGGGGAAAAACCCAGAGAAACGGCCGTACAAGGTGAACAAGAAAAGAGTTTTGTTGTTGTTGTTGTTCTTGTGTTGTTCTAAAAATAGAAATAGAAAAGGCGGTGGTGGTGAAGGGAGGAAGGTGGGAGGAGGAGGAGGAGGGAGGAAGGCGGGAAGGGAGTCGGGTTCTTTGTTTTGTTTTGTTTTGTTTTGGTGGGTGGGTGGGTGGCGATGGCATGTGGAGATGATAGCTCACTGAGACGAGCTTATCATACACAGTCGACGACTCTGACACTTTGTTGCTAGGTTGACGTCATATCGGCGAAGGATCTTGCAACAACATGTCACAAATCATGTCATCGGGTATGGTGATGTGTTTGTCAACTTTGAGGTGTAAGGTTTCGTTCCACAAGGCGATCGTGTATTGTAGCCCACGATGACAGCCGTTCGTCTAAGTTAAAAGTCGGGGAGTGGCGAATTTAAAGGGGCTCAAGGTGTTGGCTGAATTCTAACGGTGAATCGACAGGCACAGACATGAACGTGTTGTAGGTATATGTCTACGTGAAGTACTTCGTGTCACCCCCATGCAAACGTGGTGCCACGCGTGACGACAAACAGACGTTGACGTTGATCCATAGGATGATTATTATCATTTATTTATTCACGATACCGAGGTGCTGGCACTCGTGTCGGTTGACAGGTGTACTGTCATTCGTGTTGCCAGGCACCCGTAGTGTTTTGCGCGTGTTGCCAGGCAAAACGTGGTGTCCTCTGTGTGTTGTGCGTGTGTGTGTGTGTGTGTGTGTGTGTGTTCAAACAGACGTCGACGTTGATCCATAGGATGAACATTATTATGAATGACGCCGAGGAGTCGGTACTCGTGTCGGTCGACAGGCGTACTGTCATTCGTGTCTCCATGCACACGTCATGTACGTCGTGTTTTGTCATGCAAAACGTCATGTACTTCATGTTGCCATGCAATCGTGATGTCATGCGTGTGTGTCTTCAAACACACGTTGATCCACAGGAGTATTGATCCTATTTTGTATTTTATAAGGAGAGAGAGAGAGAGAGAGAGAGATCGATAGACATACGTGGTGTTTGACTCGTGTCTCCAGGCACCCGTGGTGTTTCACGCGTCTCTATTTCTATATATTTATTTTATCATTTGGAGACGTACCATGGTGGTGTCACGCGTCTACAGGCGTGTACCTCCAAGAGGACGAGGGGGTGGGTGTGGGTTCTTTTGGATGGTTGTTGTTTGGGTTGGCAAAGCAAGCAGGGTGGGTGTCGATGGCGTGTGGAAATGAGAGATCACTGAGACGATCGAGTTTATCAAAGTTATCATACACAGTCGACGACTCTGCCACTCTGTTGCTAGGTTGACGCCACATCGGCGAAAGATCTTGCTACAACATGCCACAAATGACGTCATCGACTATGATGATGAGATTGTAAACTTTGAGATGTAAGGTTTTGTTCCACAAGGCGGGCGTATTGTAGCACAAGGACAATCGTTCGTTTAAGCAACAGGGGATGAGTGGCGAAAAGGTGCTCAAGGTGTTGCCTGAATTTCTAAAGGTGAATCGACAGCCACAGACATGTAGGAATGCAGGGAGCGATCGAAATGGTGCCTGTTTTGATTGGTCCAACACACTGCGCGCTGATTGGTCCGTTCCGGCGCCTGACTTTCACCTCGGTTTTCCAAACTGGCCCGGCCCTTGTGTTTCTTGTTCATAGGAAAAATGATGACCAGAGAGTGTCTATCTTATTTAAGACACTGTCGACCTGTTTCCTGATTGAACGACAACCCAAGCTTCTGATGGGTAACCATTTTTTATCCTGTTTTTCTCCCTGGGGTGAGCATGCTGATTTCTCCATCCTAAAAAACACAACACAATTCATTTTTTCAACTTTTAGAGTGGATCGAAAGGGCTCCTGTTTTGATGGCTCCAAAACGCGACACGCCGATGGATCCGTTTCGATGCCTGGACTGAGCCTCAGTTTTCCAAATGGGTCCGACCGTTGTGTTTGGTTTTTTTCATAGGAAAAAAATGTATTTTCCACGGGAGAGAAAGCACAACTCGGCTCGGGTGCTGTCTTCTGATTGGTCGGGGCTGTCTTCTGATTGGTCAGATTTTCGACCAATCAGAGACCTTCTATAAATAGATCCTCTTTTCTGTGTATATAAAGGAAGGGCTGACGTTCATCAGACACTCATCGCCACCATGACGGACACGCAGAGTACACCCTATCGTTTGGAGAGGAAAGACATCACCCGCTCCAGGCGGTTAAGAACCGCTAACCATACCTATCGTTTGACTTTCAACCCAGACTACTTGGACACCGTACCACCGGAACGCGTCCCCATGGAACTGCCTGCATTATTTGACAGGGTGATCGATGACTTTTATGAACAGATGTCAGGCCAGAATGGAGATCGTATTGGTCTAGGTATCGATCATCCCGCTTTGAACACCCCCATACGGATTCCCTTTCGACGTTTTGAAGATCTCCATGGGCTCGATATTTTGCAAGCCGTGGAAAAAGTCCAACAGTCCAACAAAGACCTGAACATCGATGCCACCATGGATGTGACCTAAGTACACGTCGCAGATCCCGACAGGCTAGGATCTGGCAGTGGTGGTCACCAACTGAAACACGTGATTGGACTCGAAGCCTTTTTAACACGCAAAAAGGGTATCGTACGGATCAACAACCAAGATCAATCCTGTTTGGCACGGGCCCTGGTGGTGGCACAGCATTATGCCCAGAAACCTTACCCTCTGACCCAAGAATGGAAAACCCAACGAGTGAGACTGACGAGAACGGATCGCGTCGACGTTCAAGGCATACGGGCACGGGACTTGTTTCGGCGCCTTGGCCTGCCCGAAGGCCCCTGTCAAGGTCTGGACGACCTCGCACGCGTGGGACGCGCCTTGGTCCCCCTGAATTATCAACTGAAAGTCTACAGTCAAGAGGTGGACCAGAGACTGTTGTACAAGTGTGATGAGGCTCCACCCCACGCCACCGTGCTGCATGTCTACCATCATGATCAGCACTACGATGTCATCACGTCCATGCCCGCTTTTTATGCCTCTAGCCATTACTGCGAACGCTGCGACCAACGTTACGACCATCCCGAAAACCATCCCTGCAACAAGGAATACCGCTGTCACCGCTGCCTCCACTCTAGCTATTGCGGATCCCAGGAAGAGCACGGGATCCCTTGCTTGACATGTCAACGTTGGTTCCCCAATCCATCGTGTTACACCCGACATCTCCAGTCACCGTCAGAGGGAAAACCCAGCGCCTGTCAATCGCTTCACAGGTGCCCGACCTGTTTTCATCTGGTCCGCGTCTTGGAGACCCCCATGGTTAACCACGAGTGCTTCGACGAAAAACATCCCTGCTCGGTGTGCCGAGAACCGATGACCCCAGATCATCGCTGTTACATGACGCCTCTCCGTGAAGAAAACGAGGAGGAGGAAGAGGGGGAGGGAGAAGAAGCGGAGAAGGAGGAGGGGGAAGAGGAACAACATCACGTACGAGACAACGTCCAATACGCCTTCTACGATTTCGAATGCATGCAAGACACGGGGGAACACATTCCAAATTTGTGCGTGGTGCAACTGGGTTGTGGACGATGCATCGGTGAAGTGAGCAAGAACTTGTGCGAACACTGTCCATGGAGAGAAGAAGGGTATGGTCCTAGCCGTGAGATCGTGTTTCGAGGCCCCACCACGCGACATGATGTGTGTGTGTGGTTGACCACGTTGGCTGAAAAACCCAAGAAGAAGCCCCACCCAGAGGAAGAGGAGGGCAGCACACGCAAGGGGACAACACAACAACAACAAAAAAGAAAACGGGATGGCACCCCCTCGAGAAAGGTCGCTTCCAAACGTCAACGACATGCATCACCCCAGCAGGAGGCGGAGGAGGGGGAAGAGGGGGAAGAGGTCATGGAAGTGGAGAAAGCAAAGAAGCCAAAGCACAAGAACACCCCCCCGCCATACAGTCCCGAAGGAGGATCGCATTTATGTGATGGCCCATAATGCACGATCGTATGATTTACACTTAGTCCTGAAGGGTCTGTCCCCCCTCCTGGTGACACTCCCTACCAAGATTCGACATGGCCAACAAATTTTGCAGATGACCCTGGGACGGTTGTGTTTCGAAGACAGCTTAAATTTCATCCCTTACCCCCTGAAAGCCTTTCCGAAGAGCTTTGGGCTGACAGAAATGAAGAAAGGGTACTTTCCACACTTTTTTAATACGAGAGTCAACCAGACCTACAGAGGTCCCTATCCACCAGCCGTGACGTACGATCCCGATGGCATGTCTCCCGCGGAACGCACAGTCTTCCTCCAGTGG